GAGCACCCCCCCCCCTGCAGAGCGGACCTCCTCCCTGCAGCCCCCCCCACCCCCCCTGCAGAGCGGATCCCCCTCTCCTCCCCTGCTCCCCCCCCCTGCAGAGCAGACCCGCCCTCCTGCAGCTCCCCCTCCTCCCAGAGCGGACCCCCCTCCCCTGCAGACCAGACCGCCCTCCCCCTCCCTGCAGCCCAGCCCCCCGCCGCTGCAGGAGCGGACCCGACTCCGTGCACCCCCCCCCCCTTCGCAGAGCGGGACGCTCCTCCCGAGGCCCCCACCCCCCCCCCCACCCCCCTGCAGAGCGGACCCGCCCCCGTAGCCCCCCCGCCCCTTGGCAGAGCGCCCCCCCTACCCGGCACCCCCCCCCCCTGCAGAGCACCCCCCCCTTCCAGAGCAGACCTTCCCTGCACCCCCCCCCCCCCCCCCCCCCCCTGCAGAGCGGATCCCCCCCTCCTCCCCTGCTCCCCCCCCCTCTGCAGAGCAGACCCGCCCTCCTGCAGCCCCCCCTCCTCCCAGAGCGGACCCCCTTCCCCTGCAGAGCGGACCGCCCCCCCCCCTCCCTGCAGCCCAGCCCCACCCCCGCTGCAGAGCGGACCCCGCTCCGTGCAGCCCCCCCCTGCAGGAGCGGACGCCCACCCCCTCCCCTGCCCCCCCCAGTGTCCCGGCAACGAGCGCCGCAGCAAACGCCATGAGAGCGCTTCCGGCTACACCTATTTACACCTAGTTACACCTAGTTACACCCAGTTACACCTAGTTACACCTAGTTACACCTAGTTACACCTAGTTACGCCCAGTTACACCTAGTTACACCTAGTTACGCCCAGTTACACCTAGTTACCCTCAGTTTCCCTCAGCTACCCGAGTTAAGGCATGACGCAATTAGTCTGAATCGGAGTGCAGGCATTCGAACCTGGAACCTCGGTCCTCGATCCTCGCCTCGGTCATCGATCCTATCTTCGGTCCTCGATCCTGGTTTCATGTTTCAAGACAACCTCGCCGACACATCGGCGATACATCGGCGATACATCGCCGATGCATCGGCGACATCGGCGATGCATCGACGACGCCAGCGCGGAGAAAATCGAGCTCCACATCGGGCCGCATCGCCGATGCATCGACGATGCGGCGCGATCCTCCAACCCCATCTGCTCGGACCCAGGGGGGCCAGGAAGAGGGGGTGGTGCGCACTGGGGCCAAAAGCATGGGGCGCGGACGAGCGGGGGCCTTGGAGCGTGTTGAACAAAGAAGCAGAAGAAGAACAAAGAGGATAATACTACTAATAATAATGTCAATAAGAATGATAAGAGTGATAAGAATGATACGAATTATACGAAAAGAATGATGATACTCATGGTCTCATGATCATAGACATCACAACTACTCATAATACGCATAGTAAAATACATATGATACGAATAGGAATGCGAATACGAATGCGAGTACAAATACGAATGCGAAGAGCAATCATGAGAACAAGAAAACAATACCAAATACAACACAACAAGAAACAATGGTAACTATCAGTGTTATGACGAAGAGGGCGAAGAATGCGAATCAGAAAATAATAATAATGTAAATATAGGAGAAAAAAAAAGAAGAAAAATAAGAAGAAGAAGAAGAAGAAGAGGAAGAGGAAGAAGAAGAAGAAGAAGACGGAAAAGAAGAAGAGGAAGAGGAAGAAGAAGAAGAAGAAGAAGAAGTCACAGTCCTGACCCCCCGTCGGGCGCCTGGTGTTTTCAGGACGCCACACCCGGTCTCCAGCGGCCTCTCACGGGACGATCCGGGCACACCTGGGGGGCCGCTCCTGGCGAGGCGCGGCTGCGGCTGAGCATCTGGAGGCTGGCAAAAACCCCAGGGAGCCTACGAAAACGCCAGCAAAGAACCTCCCTGAACGAGGCCCTACACCTCGCGAGCGATGGGAAACGCAATTTTCTTTCAAAAACCGCACTCAATGAGCCACAATAGCGTTTCCCATAACTTTAAGCTATGGGAAACGCAATCCCAGACGACAGCCGCCCTGTAGTCCCTCTCTGGCGCCCCCGATGATGCCTCGACGGCGCCTGGAAATCTGGGCCCCTCCCGTTCCTGTCGGCCCCTCGGACCTCTCATGTGGGCGGTCTCGGAGACCTTGAACCCAAAATTGTTCTCATTTCTTGGGGGGACACCTTCTACTTCCGACGACCTTCCGCCGCCCTTCCGCTGCCTTCCGCCGAGGAAGGGATGACAATTCCTTCGACCCTTGAAGGCAACGCCCTTTCTGAAACGCCCCACGTGGCGCTTGCAGCCTGCCAAATATCTCTCTGGAAAACCTGGCCTCGTCGCGACAAGGACGCGCTGGCAGTCCCAGGGACTTTTGCTGAGCGTGTCGCAGCGGCGCCCCTGGCGGCACGCTATGCATTGGCGAGCCGATAGCGTGTCGCTCCGCTCCGCGGGGCGGGAGGCTGGCAGGAGCTCGAGGAGATGACGCTGTGCGCTGTGGAACCGGATCGCGCTTAGCATGCGGCGCCGCAGCGTGGTGAGTCAGAACCGGCGGCGCCACACGCCTCCTCCTCCTCCTCCTCCTCCTCCTCCTCCTCCTCCTCCTCCTCCTCCTCCTCCTCCTCCTCCTCCTCCTCATCTCCTCCTCCTCCTTTTCCCCCTCATCCTCCTCCTCCTCCTCCTCCTCCTCCTCCTCCTCCTCCTCCTCCTCCTCCTCCTCCTCCTCCTCCTCCTCCTCTTCCTCCCCCTCACCATCACTACCACCACCATCCTCCTCCTCTTCCTCCTCCTCCCCCTCCTCTTCCTCCTCGTTGTCCTCAACCCATCATGATGTTCATCCCCGCCGTCCGTCACAATCATCATCCCTCTCCTCATCGTCATACGCATCGTCATCATCATCATCATCATCATCATCATCATCATCATCGTCATCATCATCATCATCATCATCATCATCATCATCATCATCATCATCATCATCATCATCATCATCATCATCATCATCATCATCATCATGAGGTCGCGACCCCGGAAAGCCTGACGCCCCGAAGCACGAGGGGAGGAGGAGGAGCAACAACAGCAGGAACAAGACAAAGATAAGGGAGGGGGGACGAAGGAACATGAGGGAGGCAGAGCAGCGAGGAAGGATGGCGGAAAAAGATGGGAAAGGAGGGGGCGAAGGGAGGTGTTGACAAAGGGGCGCCGCTGTCCCCCTCAGTTGTCCCTCAGTTTCGTCTTACTTTCTTGCGTCAGAAAGAGGCTGCAGTTGTAGGATACCAAGACGCAAACGCAGTGCCAGGAAAGCTAAATGCAACCGAAAGGAAACTGAGTGCAACTGAGGGAAACTGAAAGGAGGGGGCGAAGGGAGATGTTGACAAAGGGGCGCCGCTGTCCCCCTCAGTTTTCCCTCAGTTTCGTCTCAGTTCCTTGCGTCAGAAAGAGGCTGCAGTTGTAGGATACCAAGCCGCAAACGCAGTGCCAGGAAAGCTAAATGCAACCGAAAGGAAACTGAGCGCAACTGAAGGAAACTGAATGCAACTGAGGGAAACTGAGTGCAACTGAGGGAAACTGAGTGTAACTGAGAGAAACTGAGTGTAACTGAAGGAAACTGAGTGTAACTGAGGGAAACTGAATGCAACTGAGGGAAACTGAGTGTAACTGAGGGAAGCTGAATGTAACTGAGGGGAACCGAGTGTAACTGAGGGGTCCGAACCGGCTCCGTCCGACGCCGCGCGCGGCCACAATGGGTTCTGCCACACTTGGCGATTTGAGCCAACATGGTTCCTTGAGCCAAGTTAGTTGGCCTGAGCCACATAGCACGCTAGAATCACGAGCGATGGCAACAGACCAGAATACGGTTGGAGGAATGTGACGGAACCAACTCAAACTCACAAATGGCTTGAGCCAAGATAACTACGGGTCGTCGGAGCAAACTGTTTGGGCGGCCCACCTACGCCAGACAAGGAAACACAAGCGGATGGGAACACTAACTGCAAGGCTTTGGCGGGCGCGAGCGGGGCCGCAGAAATGAAGCACAAGCGGATGGTTGCACAGAGGGGCTGCACTACCCTTTCTCAAATCCACGGCGGCCCGACGCTAGTAAGACAGCCGGAGACCCAGAGCATGCAACACAACCAGGCCCGGCTCGAATATTTTCTTCCAGCCTCCCTGTCAGGATTCCCCAAGAAATTGTAACGATCTGAACCCAGATTTCTCGGAATGCCCCAGGGATCGGAGCCCAGATCCTCAGGGATTCCTGATGGATCCACTCAGATCCCTAGGGGCCACCATGTGGGTCTCATCCCTGAACGTGGCCGCATTCGAAAATCCCAAATCCCCGAACGGGCTGGCTCCGCGTTTGAGCGGGTAAACGTCCAAATCTCGCTGTGGCCCAGCTCCTCGTTTGAGTGGATAAACGTCCCGATCCCGTTGTTGGCCAGATCCCGTTTCCGGACGAGAGAGTCTGAGTTTCCGGGATTAAGACAGGTCAAACCCCAGACCCTTCCGAGAGTGCGTGTTGGCCGAAGTTTGAGGCGGACGTAGCCCTAGCGACGAGACGCCTCACGGAGGTCCAAAAAGAAAGAACGGAGACCGTTCAAAACCCCATCCTGTATCGTCCTCCTCCTCCTCTTACGCCTCCTTCTCCTCCTCCTCCGCCTCCTCCTCTTACGTTAGACCAACCGGGGCGTGAAGCTGTGGCGTTTGTCCTCTTCCTCCTCCTCCTCCTCCTCCTCCTCCTCCTCCTCCTACTCCTCCTCTTCATCCTCATCCTCATCCTTATCCTCCTCTTCCTCCTCTTCCTCCTCCCTCCTCCTCCCTCCTCCTCCTCCCTCCTCCTCCTCCTCCTTCCTCCTCCTCCCTCCTCCTCCTCCTCCTCCTCCTCCTCCTCCTCCTCCTCCTCCTCCTCCTCCTCCTCCTCCTCCTCCTCGAGCCTTCCCTCCTCCTCCTCCTCCTCCTCCTCGTCCTCCTCCTCCTCCTGCTCTCCTCGACGCTCGTCGCTCGCAACCCCCCCAGGCGTCGGCTGCCATGGGCGTGACGCGCAGCCGCAGCGCCGCGCCGCTCAGCCTCGCGACGTCGTGGTGGCGGCTCCTCGTGATGGCGGGGGCGGGGCAGCGGGCGACCAGACCACCAGGTGGAGCTCCTACGGGTCTTAGCGTCGCCCGAGGCGGGAAACCAGGTCGGCACGGGCATGGGCTTTGCGACTCCGCAGCCCGCCCCCAGATCTGGACGTCGTAAAAGAGTCGCGACGGCCATCTTCTCGACGTTCTCTTCCTCTGGAGGCCGTTTCCCTGACCCGGGACCGAGAAAGACGACTCAGGATGGAAAGCTGGCCCGTGCAAAGGAGTCGAGATCCCCTTGGGGCCCACGTCGTGGAAGGATGCGAAAGTCACAGGAGAGGGACTGGTCGTCGCTCCCTCCCCCTGCAATTGCGAGAAGACGGGCGTCTGGCCCAGTTGGACTTGCGCCACCCTGGCGAGGCAAGGCGGAGAAAGGATCGAGGTTCTTCGACGAGTTTCGCTTTTCCCTCGAGGCTCTAGTCAGAACGCGCCTCTGGACAAGCCCAGGTGTCGATGATTGAGGATACAGGAGGAAGAAGCGCTGGGCAAGCAACTCTTGTTCCAAATGGACACCGTCCGCAGCGACACCGACAGCGAGGAATGTTCGAAAGGGGCAGGAACAGCTGTTGGCATCCGTCCCCATTATTTCAGTCAACACTTCGATCCGAGAGCGAGCGCGCACCGTCTGTCCGACGACCTGGCCCTGCGAGGGAAGCGGTCGGGTCGGGGGCCAAAGCGGAGGGGGAGGGAGGAGGGACTCGGGCCGTGGAGGCTGACGAGGAGCAAATGTCGGCCTCAACGTCATCCGTGAACTCCTACTCGTATGCTGAGAAGAGGGGGAGGGGCGGGAGGGACAGGGCACGTTTTTGAGCGCTTTCAGTGTCCGAAGCCCCTTACAGGGATTGGAGACTGTCAAAAACCCTGGATGAAAGCCCAAGTCCTGGGGCTGTGGTCGAGACCCAAGGGGGTCCACGGTGTGAAAAAACTACGCCCAGTGTCTGGGGGAGTCTCTGTTCTCTATAAGCACAAGCACAAGCAGAGACGAAGGTAACAGCGCAAGCAGGGAAAGGGCAGGGGGGATAGGAGTAGGGGGATGCCCCCCTAGTAACGGCAGGGTCATGCCGTGATGACACCGTAGTTCGGCGTTGGCTTCTGACACCGCATGAATCGTTCAACCTTAAACGATCGTGGTTTTCCGACCGCAGATCGCTGGGTTGGGGTCGACTCCGAGAAACTAGCGGCGTTCAACCTTGACCACCCGTGCTGGGGTCGCCATCACGTCAACGCGCCCTGCCTCTGTCAGAAAAGAATGCACTACACGAATACGTGCTTGTCAGCGTGGACTTCCGACAGTGGGTGCTTGCACTCTCAGTGCGCAGTGTATCTGGGGCAAGATAACATATGGTGCAATATACACATACATACATATACACGCATATGTCCGCCAACGAGCCTTTGCGCACGGAGTGGGCGCGTCCTTAAGTCCCTTGCCTAATCCTCAAAGCCTCAATCCCTAGTCCTGAAAAGTCTCTTGGGGGACCGGACACCACAGTGCCAAGTCGACCGGGGCCTGGCACGTCTCGTCGGGGGTTTCTCGCGTCTTCTCGCGTGACTGCTTCGGGCCCACGAAAGGCCAAAGACGAGCCAAGACTGCCTCGACGGGCACTCAAACGGGCACGGTAGGGCCCCGAAACGCCCCAAGATCGTCCCAAGACGCCGGAGAAGACCCGCCGAGGGCCCAAGAAGCCCCCAAGATGCCCCAAGAGGCCTCCCAGAGGTTCCCCAAGAGGGCCCTACAAGGACCAAATCATTCTCTTCCATTGATATTTGAAGGATGTTGGCGTTCTCGCATTTTCGGTTTTCATGCGCCCCATGACGGCCCAGGAGGCCCCCAACATCGCCTCAAAACGGCTGCAGAGGCCTCCAAGCAGGGTCCCAAGACGACCCAAGAGGGCTCCGACACAGGCCAAGAAGTTTCTCTAAGACAGCCCAAAGAGGCCACCATGACGGTCGCAAGAAGAGCTCAAGAGGGGGGACCACGAATCGAAAAATTGCCCCAAGGCCCTAAGAGCCCCGAAACAAGAAGCTTTCAGAGGTCCCGAAACACTTTTTTATATTAAAAGGGGGGGAACAAAAAAAAATATCCCGGCAAAGCAACCTAACAGCGATGTGTAGGAGCATATCTGGAAGCATTCCCCTTAAGATTCAGATAAGAATCCTGTTGTAGAATTCTGCTGTTCTCGCAGTCGTGGTCGCATTCGCGATGGCAGTCGCAGTGGCAACAGCAGTCGCAGTCACAGCCTCAGCCTCAGCCTGCCTCAGCCTCAGCCTCAGCCTGCCTCAGCCTCAGCCTGCCTCAGCCTCGCCCTCAGCCTGCTTCAGCCTCAACATCAGTCTGCCTTCAGCCTCGGCCTCAGCCTGCCTCAGCCTCACCCTCAGCCTGCATCAGCCTCAGCCTGCCTCAGCCTCGCCCTCAGCCTGCTTCAGCCTCAACATCAGTCTGCCTTCAGCCTCGGCCTCAGCCTGCCTCAGCCTCACCCTGCATCAGCCTCAGCCTCAGCCTCAGCCTGCCTCAGCATCAGCCTGCCTCAGCCTCAGCCTCAGCCTGCCTCTGCCTCAGCCTCAGCCTGCTTCAGCCTCAGCCTCAGTCTGCCGTCGGCCTCGGCCTCAGCCTCAGCCTGCCTCAGCCTCAGCCTGCATCAGCCTCAGCCTCAGCCACAGCCTGCCTCAGCATCAGCCTGCCTCAGCCTCAGCCTCAGCCTCAGCCTGCCTCAGCCTCAGCCTCAGCCTGCTTCAGCCTCAGCCTGAGTTTGCCTGCAGCCTCGGCCTCAGCCTGCCTCAGCCTCAGCCTGCCTCAGCCTCAGCCTCAGCCTCAGCCTGCCTCAGCCTCAACCTGCCTCAGCCTCAGCCTCAGCCTGCCTCAGCCTCAGCCTCAGCCTGCTTCAGCCTGAGCCTCAGTCTGCCTTCAGCCTCGGCCTCAGCCTCAGCCTGCCTCAGCCTCAGCCTGCATCAGCCTCAGCCTCAGCCTCAGCCTGCCTCAGCATCAGCCTGCCTCAGCCTCAGCCTCAGCCTGCCTCAGCCTCAGCCTCAGCCTGCTTCAGCCTCAGCCTCAGTCTGCCTTCAGCCTCGGCCTCAGCCTCAGCCTGCCTCAGCCTCAGCCTGCATCAGCCTCAGCCTCAGCCTCAGCCTGCCTCAGCATCAGCCTGCCTCAGCCTCAGCCTCAGCCTGCCTCAGCCTCAGCCTCAGCCTGCTTCAGCCTCAGCCTCAGTCTGCCTTCAGCCTCGGCCTCAGCCTCAGCTGCCTCAGCCTCAGCCTGCAGCCTCAGCCTCAGCCTCAGCCTCCTCAGCCTCAGCCTCAGCCTCAGCCTCAGCCTGCTCAGCCTCAGCAGCCTCAGCCTGCCTCAGCCTCAGCCTCAGCCTGCCTCAGCCTCAGCCTCAGCCTGCTTCAGCCTCAGCCTCAGTCTGCCTTCAGCCTCGGCCTCAGCCTCAGCCTGCCTCAGCCTCAGCCTGCATCAGCCTCAGCCTCAGCCTCAGCCTGCCTCAGCATCAGCCTGCCTCAGCCTCAGCCTCAGCCTGCCTCAGCCTCAGCCTCAGCCTGCTTCAGCCTCAGCCTCAGTCTGCCTTCAGCCTCGCCTCAGCCTCAGCCTCAGCCTGCCTCAGCCTCAGCCTGCCTCAGCCTCAGCCTCAGCCTGCTTCAGCCTCAGCCTCAGTCTGCCTTCAGCCTCGGCCTCAGCCTCAGCCTGCCTCAGCCTCAGCCTGCCTCAGCCTCAGCATCAGCCTGCCTCAGCATTCAAAGTGTGGCCCGGGAATGGAGTTCTGGGAACTCGAAGAACACGAAATGGCCTACAGTTGGCTCCGGGCATTCAAAATCATGCCCAGGAATGGAGTTCTGGGAACTCGAAGACCACGAAGTGGCCTACAGTTGGCTCCGGGCATTCAAAATCATGCCCAGGAATGGAGTTCTGGGAACTCGAAGACCACGAAGTGGCCTACAGTTGGCTCCGGGCATTCAAAATGTGGCCCGGGAATGGAGTTCTGGGAACTCGAAGAGCACGAAGTGGCCTACAGTTGGCTCCGGGCATTCAGAATGTGGCCCGGGAATGGAGTTCTGGGAGGTCGAAGAGCACGAAGTGTGTGACTGTTTGCGAAAAACGATCCCCCCCGGCAAACCCCAACGGCCCCCCAACGGCTGCCCAGACCCCCCTGTGGAGTAATGTGCTGCTCTCTTTTTAGTCCATTAGAAACCTATCAGTCTTCGCTGTTAGGTAAAAACCTCCGAAAGGCATACCACGAGATCCCGACGAACACTCAAGAGGCCTATGACTCAAGCACGATCATTCCAGGTACCAATAGAATCATGCAGGCGAAATGCCCCTGGTGGTACTCCACTGGCACCGCTTGACACACGCATACACAGCCGACATGTCTCAAGTGGTTCTTCGCAGGCGACATTTGAAGCACAAGCTACCACTTGAGGCTTATACACGACGTACCGCAAGTGAGAGACGACAGGTGCAACTTGAAGTATGAAGGCGAAGTGCCTACGGTAATGCGTGTCTGGTACCGCTTGAGGCATACAAAACACACGCCTGACGCGTTACTTTAGCGGCACGGCGCGCAGACGACATGCCTCGAGCGGAAGTTGATTGAATCCACTTGATGCACGCAGACAACATGCCTCAGGTGGCATGCTCGGTATCAAAGGGGGCATACAGACGTCATGTCCCAACTGGTGCTTGGACAGTATCTGCCTGGGAAATATTATTCACTGCGTTGCTCCCGCCACCTGCTGGACATGGCGGCGAAGAGAACGACATGTACGACGATGACAAGCAACAGCGGTTTTAAAACCCTCACAGACAGGCATTCACGATACCGTCAAATCGTTCACTCTTGATTGCCATGCACTGTCTGCGCAACCTTGCGAGTTTTTTTCCAAACCACCAAGAAGACTGGGCGCCAAGAGAATTCGAAGATAACACTAGCATTGCTTACGCTACAGATCTGCCGCGCAGGCATCTGCAACAACGCA